TTCCTTCCTTCCTTCCTTCCTTCCTTCCTTCCTTCCTTCCTTCCCCTCAGCTCCTTTTCTTTTCTTTTCAAGAGGCAACTGGACTTTCTGGTTTTTTTTTTTAGACCTTTCGCTTCTCATCCAAGAAGCTTCTTCAGCTCTGACCGGATGGTGGGGAATGGAAGAATTCATATTCCTTGAAGACAGCTGATCATTTGCATCCTTTTAGTGGGTCGTTAAGGTCACCTGGCAGTTTATCTGTCCTCAGGGTCACCTGAGTGTGGGGCCTTCTTGGAACTGTTGAAAGGACTGTTTTGTAGGACTGTAGAAAAGACTACAACACAGTCCTTTCAACAGTTCCAAGGCTTCACACTAATCTGCACCACTCAGGTGACCCTGAGGACACAAATAAATCCCCAAGTGGTCTCAACAACTCTCTAAAAGGATGGAAATGACCAGCTGTCTGCAAGGAGTATAAATCCTTCCATTCCCCCTCCCCCTCATCCAGTCAGAACTGAAGAAGCTTCTTGGATGAGAAGTGAAACATCTTCAGAGAAAAAACCAGAAAGCCCAGTTGCCTCTTGAAGAAAAAAAAAAAAAAGCACCTTTGGAATAAGGGGCCATTACTTCCCCACCTCTGCTTTATTGCCAAGCTGGAGTACTGATCCCTCCTACCCTGTGGATATGAGACAGGGCTTGCAATTTCTCAGTTTCACCGCTTCTTAAAAGGTTTTCAAATGTCACTAAAATGTAAACCCAGAGACTCTTATTTCAGTGTTTTTCAAACTTGGCGACTTTCCGATCTAGGAACTTCAACTCCCAGAATTCCCAGCCACCATGCTGCTAATAACTTGAATTCCCAGCTTATAGGGTTTCTAAGATTTTAGGACGTTACGATCTTCGTGCATCTTAAAAGTTGCCAGGTTTGAAATACACTGATTTATGTGGAGAATTGGACTGGGTTATTCTACAAAAAAATTTATCAGCTCAGCAATTTTAAAAATTAGTCACAGGAGTGCGTCGGAGTAAAATTGATGTACTGGTTAAGGTACCAGGCAAGATGAGGAGCAACGATGATTAGGGGACTGGAGGCTAAAGCATATGAAGAACGATTGGAGGAATTGAGTATGTCTAGTTGAATGAAAAGAAGAACTAAGGGTGACATGATAGCAGTGTCCCAATATCTATGGGGTTGCTACAAAAAAAAAGAGAGAGTCAAATCTATTCTCCAAAGCATCAAAGGACAAGAAGCAATGGATGGAAACTCATCAAGGAGAGAAGCAACCTATTGTAAAGCTAAGGAGAAACTTCCTGACAGTAAGAACAATTAATCCGTGGAACGACTTGCCTTCAGAAGTTGTGAATAGCAATAGCACTTAGACTTATATACCGCTTTATAGTGCTTTACAGAGTCCACATATTACCCGCAACAATCTGGGTCCTCATTTGACCCACCTCAGAAGAATGGAAGGCTGAGTCAACCTTGAACCTGGTGGGATTTGAACTGCCAAATTACAGGCAGCCAATAGTCAGCAGAAGTGGCCTGCAGTGCAGCACTCTAACCACTGCACCACCAAATGCTCCAATCCTGGAAGTTTTTTAAGAAGAGATTGGGCAACCATTTTGTCTGAAATGGTACAGGGTTTTTTGCCTGAGAGGGGTTGGACTAGAAGACTCCAAATTATTCTGTTACTCTGTCCTGTTATACTATGAGTTCCAATCCCGCCTTAGGCACAAAGCCACCTGGGTGGCTTGAGCCAGTCTATCTCCCAGCCCTAGGAAGGAGGCAAAGGAAAACCACTTCAAAATACCTTGCCAAGAAAACTACAGGGACTTGCAGCCATCGGGAATCAATATTGACATGAAAGTTATACAAATATATACATCTGTATGTATGTAATGTACAGCAGTAGCACATACTGGCTTTGTTGCCAAGGTTGGGATGGCAGCATACACCAGTGGTGTGATTTCATATTTTTATTACCGGTTCTGTGGGTGTGGCTTAGTGGGCGTGGTGTGGCGTGACTTGGTGGGCATGGCAGGGAAGGATACTGCAAAATCCCATTCCCTCCCCACCCCACTAACCTGCTTTCCAGCTCTGTTCTCCTTTGTAGGGCAACAAAAGAAGACCCAGCCAATCAGCTGGGACTTGGGTGGCAGAGAATAAATGGGGGTGGGACCAGTCAGGTGGTATTTGCCGGTTCTCCGAACTATTCAAAATTTACGCTACCGGTTCTTGAGAACCGGTCAGAACCTGCTGAATACCACCTCTGCCATACGTCAGTGTAGGATTTTTGTACCAATGTACCTCTGGTTCACCCTGAGGAAGAAAGTACATTGGCTTTATGTTGTAGAGCAGTGTTTCTTAACCAGGGCCATTTTAACTTTCGACTCCCAGAATTCCCAACCAGCAGATGTTGAAGTCACACATCTTAAACTTGCCCAGACTGAAAACACAGTTCTACAATTATGAATTCCTAGGAAAGGAAGGAAACTCTTGATTTGATAGGTAAGTGGAGCATCAATTAAAGTGGTGCTGGACAACCCCCAGGATCAAAATTAGATTTGGACTCATTAATTCAGAGCAAGTACATCTTTCTCCAACTCTAATTAAATTAGATTACTTCATTAATTATTTTTACAGGACCAACATAGGCAGCAATTAATCAAAGCAGTCTCCACTCTCATTGCATTATCCTGCAAGATTTACTTTGTCTAAATGTGTGCTTGCCTACAGTGCCTTAGTGTGCAAGAATGCAAGACAGTTAAGAAATATTTAAATCAAAATGAACAGAGTTGACACAAATGTGGCAAAACTAATATGGAAATCTCTTTTTAATGGTTTTTCAACTCATTCTGAAACCACATCATGGCAGCAAACAGCATAAGTATAGAATCATTCTAGCTAAATGAAAGGCATCACAAAAAAGATATCATAAAATCTTAACAGACATCTATCTCTGTCAATTAAAAATATTTCTGAATTTCTGAATAACTTAAAGATATTTGAATTATTGAGTGCTGAATATGCAAACGTGTGCCATCATATTTTAAATTTACTATCCAATTCCATATCAATTATATTTTAAGATATATACTATAAACATATAAAGACCAAAGCAATAGCAGCGATGTCAAATTGGCGGCCTGCAGGCCAGATATGTCATCTGTAGGTCACGCCCACCCCAGCTCCATGAAGGGGGAAAACCAGTGGTGGGATTCAAACTTTTTTACTACCGGTTCTGTGGGGGTGTCTTAGTGAGCATGGCAGGAGAAGGATACTATAAAATCCCCAGCTGGGACTTGGGAGGCAGAGAATAGATGGGGGCGGGGCCAGTCAGAGGTGGTATTTACCGGTTCTCCAAACTACTCAAAATTTCCACTACCGGTTCTCCAGAACTGGTCAGAACCTGCTGAATGCCACCTCTGGGGAAAATGTTACGATACATCACATGATGGCAACATGAGACAGCAAGTTTGACACCCATGCAATAGAGAAACAGTTGAAATTTAACAAGTATAGAACGACCTCATTTTCAGTACAAAATAAAAATATGTGCAAAACAACAATTACATAAAGGAATGGTGAGCATTTATAGTTGGCTAATTGATTTTGCTTCCAAAAAGTCTTAAAGTTCTGTTACAACTACCACTACGTTCTCGTGTCCTTTAAATATTGAGTGTGTTAACTATTTTGCCTCATGTTTTGAGATTTGGATGTTAGATTTTGAAGATCTTTATATATTTTTTCTTTTTAAAAAAATCTTATTTTTGTCCTGTTTTTGACAAATCGATACATAATTCCAAGATACTGATGTAACTCTGCTAAAATATATTCCAGTAATGAATATATTGTGATGTAACATTTTGTGAACAGGGACTCATACAAAAAATAAATACTCAAGTAAATAATATATATGTTTCGTAGATGATTTGGTTTTTGTTTTGCCGGTCACTTTAAAAGGAATTGAACTTTAATAAGTAAATTAAAAGAATTTGGGGCACTGGAAGGTTTCAAGATTAACAAACAGAAGACAAAGATGTTAACAAAGTATATGAAGATAAGATATATCACCAGGCTAGAAATTTTGGGCTTGGACAACCTTGAACTACTACGCTGCCTGCGGTTGGACTTAAGCATAATACACAAAATGAGCTGTAAGCCATAATCATCACAATTATGACAAATCACGGCTTGAACTATCTTGCTTTGCATGTAATGAGTCTATCTCATATATTAGGTTCACCTTTTACGTTGCATTAGTGAAATAAATGAACTTTTGCATGATATTCTAATTTTTCAAGTTTCACCTGTACATTTTGGTTCTTTCAAAGCATTAGTCATTGAGGGAGATGAAATGCATGCCACAACTTCATGATGCAAATAGTGTGGGATGGCTTACATCAGAAGCTGAGATGCAAGTATGCAAGATCATAAATTGGTACTTAAACCTGTTATCAATACTGAAAGAAACTTTGGCTAAAAACATTACGAAAATTGAAACCCTGATATAGTACTGAATATCTAGCTTTTCAGTAGCCGTATTCAAATCTGGATGTAGCTACAACAGTCAACCTGGCAAGGGACACAGAGATAGACACACAAGATTGAATGCATAAAAGCAGATCCTCATAAGTACTAAGCAATCCCCATTATTTGATGACCAGAGTGCTGCATCGTTAATGTAGGTAAAATCAAAGTTCACAATCTTCAGATCCTTTTGCAGGTACATCTCATTCAACTGGTTTAATATTCTTGCAAAGGCGTATTTAGATGCACAGCTGTAAGCTTCCCAAGTGTAAACTTGCTTGAAATGCATATCAAACCATGGATTATCCTAAAAGGAAAAAAAACACCAACGTTTTATTTGCTGCCTTTCTGCTCAGAAAGAAGATTCAAACTAACAGAGAATTTAAAATATTTATTTATTCATTCATTATTATTTTTTTATTTAGTTTAGTTTGTCAAACATCAGAAGTGGTATTCAGCAGGTTCTGACCAGTTCTGGAGAACCAGTAGCGGAAATTTTGAGTAGTTTGGAGAATTGGCAAATACCACCTCTGACTGGCCCCGCCCCCATCTATTCTCTGCCTCCCGAGTCCCAGTTAATCGGCTGGGTCTTCTTTGGTTGCCCTGCACAGGAGAACAGAGCTGGAAAGCAGGTTAGTGGGGTGGGGAGGGAATGGGGATTTTGCAGTATCCTTCCCCTGCCACGCCCACTAAGCCATGCTCACAGAACCAGTAGTAAAAAAATTTGAATCCTACCACTGGTCAAACATGTAATGAGAAAACAAGTATAATTATGAACATAACATATAAACATATAAGTATAAACATATATAAGTATATCCATAATAAATGAGTACAAATAAATGGGAACAGTAGGACAGGGACAGTAGGCACACTGGTGCACTTATGCACACTCCCTTACAGACCTCTTAGGAATGGGGTGAGGTCCATGGTAGACAGTTTAAGGTTAAAGTTTTGGGGGTTTGAGGATGTAACAACAGAGTCAGGTAGTGAGTTCCAGTGGTTGACATGCAAATATATGCATGTCACATATGCAAATAACATGCAAATACAAAGTAGCATCTACAAAACAATACAGGTAGTCCTTGACTTACAGCAATATTGGAGCCCAACATTTTCATTGCTAAGACAGTGGTTAAGGGAGTTTTGCCCCATTTACAACCTTTCTTGCCCCAGTTATTAAGTAAATAACTGCAGTTATTAAGTTAGTAACACGGTTGTTAAGCCAATTTTTGCTTCCCTATTGACTTTGGTCAGGTCACAAAAACAGATCACATGACCAGTGGTAGGATTCAAAAATTTATACTACCAGTTCTGTGGGCGCAGCTTGGTGGGCGTGGCAAGAAAAGGATGCTGCAAAATTCCCCTTCCCTCCGCACCCCACTAACCTGCTTTCCAACTCCCTTCTCCTGTGCAGGGCAACCAAAGAAGAGCCAGCCAATCCGCTGGGACTCGGGAGGCAGAGAATAGATGGGGGTGGAGCCAGTCAAAGGCGGCATTTTCCAGTTCTCCGAACTACTCAAAATTTCCGCTACTGGTTCTCCAGAACTGGTCAGAACCTGCTGAATATCCACCTCTGCCCATGACTCTGGGACACTGCAACCATCATAAATATATGGCAATTGCCGAGCATCCAAATATTATGGAGCTACTACAATGATTGTTAAGTGTGAAAAGCGTTCTTGTTAGTTTTTTTACTGCCACTGAAAATGAATGTCACTACAGGAATGATTGCAAATCAAGGACTATCTGTAAAATGTACTATAGAGAACCATTGCCCTTCTAAGACCTGGCCAAAAAAACCAAAAAGATTTGTGTTGCCTGTACTTCCAAAGACAGCGTAGGGACAACAACAACAACAAAAGCTCTTAACCACATGCAAAATAAGGACAGGTTTGACCGAGGTGGCAACAGAGATGATTAGTGTTAAGTTTGAAGAATAAGGAGACCAGACATCTGACCAGTGACTTCAACTCTTTAATAATAACAGGAATAGGAATAGAACAGAGCAAACTCTATGGGCAGCAGTAACCCTTTTATAGGGTTGGCTGCTACCCTATTAACCAATAACCTTTGTGATAAGTTCAAATAATAACCAATAAGGAGTGGCCTCATCCTGACCAATCCCTGTTCGTTGTTTGAGGACCAATCAGGTGTGCAGGCCTTCAAACCCTACTTTGCATTTTATGCTAGTTCCTTTATTGATTCATAACACCCCTCCCCCTTGGGCTCCGTTTGAGGGGAGCTGTAACAAAATCCTCAAGGTAGACAGGCCGTTTGGTCTGTCTAGATGATTTCCGTGGCTCCACCGGGTTTTGCCCAAAGTCCGGTTCCGGTGGAGCGTTTGGATAGTCTCTATTTTGTTCCGTTTCGCTGCACGGTGCTTCCGTGCTACTTTCGTTGAGGTTGTTTCTACTAACTAATGGTTCTTCGGGGTTTTGCAGTTCGGATTCCCCCAAGTTCAAATCCCCTGGAGAAATCAACTCCCTCCCTGTTTCATTTGCCGGTCCTTCCCTGGGCCGAAAGGTATCCGTTGGCCTGCAATCTGTCATATCGAAGTCAATTTCCTCGATATTTCCTCCCCCCTCAGTTTGGGAACCCGGGGATCCATGGCCGCTGGGTGGTAATCTCGAACGGAGTTGGTCTATGTGGCGTTTCCACACCCTCCCATCTTCTGTTAGTAGGCGGTAAGATCTGGGCCCTGTGAGGTGGGTGACGGTTGCGGGTATCCACAAAGGGTCGCCGGAAAAGTTTTTTGCAAAGATTAAATCGCCTACCTTAAATTCCCGGCATTTGCTGCTGGAGCCGAAAGGCTTTTCGGGTGCGTATGCGGGGTGGAGCCGGTCCAGGTGCGATCGTAGTTTCCGCCCCATGAGAAGTTCGGCGGGCGTTTTGTTGGTGACGCTGTGGGGCGTAATATGCTGCAACAATAAAATTCGATTGATTTTTTCATCGATGTCGCCGAATTCCATTTTGTGGAGGGTTTTTTTTACAAACTGTACCATGCGTTCTGCACGTCCGTTTGCCGCAGGGTGCGCAGGCGAGGTCAGCGCATGGCAGATGCCCCGATCAGCAAGATACTGTTCAAAGTGTAATGCAGTGAACTGTGGGCCGTTGTCCGAGACCAAAACGTCCGGGAACCCCTCCATTAAGCTCTGAAAGATCCCGGGAGCGACGCTCACCCCGAACTGGAGTCGGTTGCATTTAAACGCACCCCTATGGGTGACGATAGTTTGCGCTTCGGCGGTGGCAGGGTCTACAGGCAATTGCTGATATGCCTGCGCTAGATCTAATTTAGCGAAAATTTTTCCGCCCCCCAAGGAATGGAGCAGGTGCTGCACTACTGGCACTGGATATGCACTTTGCTGAAGTGCGTGGTTAAGGGTGGCCCGGTAGTCTCCGCAAATTCTCAGTGACCCATCAGGCTTGATAGGCGTAACTATTGGAGTTTCCCACCGGGCGTGGTCGGTGGGTTCCAGCACGCCCTGTGCTATTAGTTTATCGAGTTCGTCGATTTTAGGTTTCAGGGCGAACGGAACCTGACGCGGCTTAAGGCGGATGGGTGCTACCTCAGGGTTCAAATTAAATGATATTGGGGTCCCCTTGTACTTGCCTAGTCCGCTCGCGAAGACGTCTCGGAATTCTTGCACGAGGGCCTCCTCCCAATCGTTGCTCTCGGCCCGGTGAACTCCGGCTACGGTGATCCCGAGCGGCCCGAACCATTGTAGGCCTAAAAGGCTAGGCCGGTCATGGTCAACAACAGTCAGTGGCAGTGCGACGGTGCGGTCCTTGAAAGAGACCTGGAATTGGCGGGACCCAACGATGGGAATTCGATTACCCTGGTAATCTCTGAGTATAACCCTTTGAGGGTTGAGGTCTTGGCGGCGAATTGTTGGAATAAGCTGCTGGAGCGTCTTCCAAGATACCATCGAGAGGGATGATCCTGAGTCTACCTCCATCACACAAGGTTTGTTTTCGATCGCGACCTTCACCCGGATTTTTCCGGCGTCTAAGGATGTAGCGTGGCCTATGGTGATTGTTTGGTGGGTTTCTTCCCGTCTGGTTTCTTCGCGCCTGGGGTTAGTGGTGGACGGGTTGTTTCTGTAGGAGTGGTTTCCCCATTGGTGGTTCAGTTTGTCTCAGTGTGTACCGAGGAATCCTAAAGACTGGCATTCAGCCTGTCGGGGTTTGGAGTTGGAGGCTTGTTTGCTTCTGCAAACCTTTGCGATGTGACCTCTTTTCCCGCAAACGCGGCAGAGTGCGTCGAGGAATTTGCAGCTGGATCGTGGGTGACTCGCTCCACATCCTGCGCAAGGTCGATTTGAGCGTTGTGTGAACTGGTCTCGTTCAGTTCGGAGTCGGTTGACCTCTTCCTCGTCACTTTCTGATGGGGATTCTAGGTCTTCGTGGTGAGTTGATACCGGGTGTCTCTCTGGGCGAGGCGAGGTATCATCGGCGAGTTGGCGTAGCGGTGCGCTGGTACGGCGCATTCGTGCTGCTGACTTCTTAGTTGCTTCCGCTGCCGAGGCTTCTTTAAGGGCATCGGTAAGGCTGATGTCCCCCTTAGCCATGATTTTGCTCTGGATTGTGCAATCCTCTAAACCCAGAACTAGGCGGTCCCGGAGGGCTTCTTCTAAGTTGGAGAATTCGCAGAGGCCTCCAAGGTTTCGAAGGTCTGCGACGTAGTTGGCAAGGCTTTCGCCCTTCCGCTGGCCTCTCTGGTAAAATTCGTGCCTTCTGACTAATGTTGGCACGGTGGGCGCGTAGTGGGCCCGTAGCAAAGGCTCGAGGACATCCCAGTCCATTGCTTTTACTTCGGCTGGCTTGGCAAGTGACTTCGCCATTTTAAACACAGTAGGCCCGCAGTGGGTTAGAAAAACAGCTCTTTTTTTGCTGGCCGTTGCATCTTTCAAGTTGTTGGTCTCCAAAAACATTTGGAACCTATCCATGTATGACTCCCAGTCTTCGGTTTCTGGGTTGAATGGAGCGGGTGGTACGGCACCGCTGGCCATGATTGCCGTTGATAGTGCGTGTTCGACCACGTGCTCTGTTGGTTGCTCTGTAGATCAGTCAGCTCTTCGGTCTCCGCATCCCATCCTCGTCGCCAGTGTTAAGTTTGAAGAATAAGGAGACCAGACATCTGACCAGTGACTTCAACTCTTTAATAATAACAGGAATAGGAATAGAACAGAGCAAACTCTATGGGCAGCAGTAACCCTTTTATAGGGTTGGCTGCTACCCTATTAACCAATAACCTTTGTGATAAGTTCAAATAATAACCAATAAGGAGTGGCCTCATCCTGACCA